AAACAGTAGTAACCTTGTAGCTGAACAGACGTGAGTAATGTAGTAGTTAAACAGATGGGAGTAACTTAGCAGTTAAACAGGCGTGAAGAACCTCAGAGCTAAACAGACATGAGTATCGTCGTTACTAAGACATTCCCACAAATCCAAACAGCCCAAAGGGAGACAGGAGGCCATTCATCTCATGTCCTCATGGAGCTGTTTCACACTGAGGAGAGGGCACCTGAGGGTAACGGCTCACATGAGAACCTCAGTAATCATGGTATCGCCACAATAACGACAAGACAAAAAATATCAGCTAGGCCACGCTCGCGGCCTGACGTCTTTTGTTCCGAGATGTATTGTAACTTGAAAGACAGTAATATGGGTTCATTACATCTGCGGCTAGAGCGAGTCTCTGAGTGCAGTAAATAATGGCAGAATTATCACATCTATCCTGCTGGGTGAGCAATTTTAGTTTCCTAAGTATGATGATTTTGCGGTGATAGAGTCCCGTGGGAGATGGAGCTGCTGGGAGGACGGATAATGCCCCATCAGGGCAGGACGTGTCTGTTTATGAAGGTTAACAGCCGGGTGATGTGCCACAGTCAACAGCAGCTGGAGTGTCTGTCAGGAAGCGCGTCGTGATGAAGGAGCGCGTCGTGATGAAGGAGCACGTCGTGATGAAGGAGCGCGCCGTGATGAAGGAGCGCGTCGTGATGAAGGAGCGCGTCGTGATGAAGGAGCGCGTCGTGATAAGGGACCACACAGACCTATGGGACAGTATATCTCAGGAATAGGAACTGGCTCCTCTTGGTCCAGCATTTACTTCTAGGCTGAAGCCACCAATCTGTTATAAAAGCAAGAGCCGTCAAGCATGTTATAAGGCTGCTGTACATCTCTCATTCGGTGGGAAGCAGTGGCATATGCCACAGGGCCGAAAGCAGGGACCCTGGGCCAGATGGAAGATTCAAGACGTGGTTGAACTGCAGAACTGCAGAAATCTTCCCATACAGTGATCAGGGGCCATTAGATGTAGCTGGAAGACAGGCCTTCTCCACCATGGGGAGGAGGTGCCTGCATCGGCAGAGAGGGAAGTGAAGGTAACAAACCCATCACCGAGTGTTTAAATGTGACTGGGATGACCAATCAGAAAGCTGGACAACCTTCCTCAGGAAGTCACCGCCCACTTCCCGCCAGTCTGTGTGACTTGGGATTTGTCTTCTGTGGGTTTTACAGATATATCTGTCAGCTGAGATTCAGTAACACCACTGTCTGAGTAGTGAGGAAGGTCAGGTGGCTTTCACATGTATGAATGATCAGCGCGTTGGAGGGGCACAGATACCCCGGCAGATTGAGGGGGCCCTATGGGCTCTATGGATCCAAGGTAGAATTTACTGAGTGGTAAATTCTACTGTGGGGGCACAAGGAGACATTTTGTCAGAGGGCCCAGAATTTCCATCTCTCAGAGACTATCCCAGAAGGCACAGGAGCAGAAGATGGGGGTATGGTGTAAGAGGGACATTTTACTCGCATTTTGTGCATAAAACCCTGGAATTGTGAGGGGGAAACATTATTTGTTAATTCTCCAAGCAGTATAAGCAACTGCAGTCAACCACAGTGATAACATCAATTGAAAAATTAATGCGCCAATGCTGACTAAATTAATGAGTAGATAAATATCTGATTATTCTGTTTGTATTAACACCCCCACTTCCCGACCCAGATTTTTTTTAACTATATTTCACTCCCAAGCAACCCATCCCATTTTGCTGAACTTCCCATTCAGGGGGTAAATCTGCAACCCAGTTTACGAGCCACAAACTTTATGTGTTTGAGATTATACTGCACTGTAATCATTAACCTTCCAGCTGATACACTTTCCTGAGGTATGGCGATGCTGATATTTGATTCCAGTCATAAGGGGTGAGTTACCATACGCGTCACACCAAGCAAAGCGACTCGGATTTTATTCACGATGTGAAACACGTTTGCAAGCGATATCAGGGGTCTGAACATTGCCTGTCATCAATGAGTCCCTTGTGCTCATCCAGACCCCCGTGGCGACTGAGCAATGCTGGAATCTTCTTGACTCTGCCTGGGATGTGACTCACTAAAGCGAGTAGCGGCCAGAGAATACGGTGGAACCCGACGCGGATGTCAGAGAGAACTGCCTTGGAGATGAGGGAAAAACGAAAGAGAAAAACATGGATAAGTGGATAAAGATCTCTACACAGCCTGCCCCCATCTACGGCAAAACACTGTGAAGGCAGGGACAATCACAGACAGCAGGGGGCTAGAGTGCCTCAGTGAAGAGACAGAGCACCATGCAGATCAGGCGCAGATCTGTCAGCGGGGCAGATTGAATGACCTAGCCGAGGGATTCATCAGCCTGAAATCAGTGTCTGAGAACGCCGATGGCTCCAGCATGGCATAAGGGAAAAATCCCTCACAGGACATCGACGTTCCAAAGCTTGTAATGGAAAACAGACACAGGCCCCTGAAGCAGCGGTAAATCTCCGTGGTGTTTTTGAATTCTGTTTAATCTAGCGCCTTGTGTTTACTTGCTATGTTTGGGGGACTGTCAGGCCAAGGAACCTCAGAGCCACGAGACCCTTTCAGCCAAATCAAGCAAATGGTTGGCTAACGTGTTCTATGTGTGTGTGTGTGTGTGTGTGTGTGAGTGAGAGGTGACCCATGTGACCTCCAGCTAGGGGAGTCACCATGAGCAGGTTAAGGGACAATAGAGGTCCTCTTCAGCAGTAGGGCAGAGTCAGTGAGGTGGCAGTTGGTTCTAAATAAATATCCTGGGGTGAGATTCTGACAAACAGAGATGATAGCACATCCAGGGGGTACACAGAGCTGCCGGTGGCTCTTCAATCATGCAATGAGGATCAAGTAGAGCTCCTTGCACTTATACATCAAACCCTGTGCTTTCCCATTTCCCAGGGTGACCCGGCCCGAGGGGAGATGGGGACGCAAATCCATGACTGCATGGCACTATGGGAAATATTTCAATTGTTTCTTTCCTCTCACCAGCCTAAGACTGAAATAACATGCTCAGAAACACCCTGAGAATGAAAAGGCCCATACCCTGTTAAGCCTCCCCCCCCCCTTTTAAGTGCAGGGTTGTAAGAGTGATTTTCAATTTTGCTCAAAAACAAAATGACACGAGAGCAGCGGGGGAATGCTAACGAGGTCGCGTCGTCACGGCGACATGGCAGGGGCTCGGTTTCGCCGCCGCTCACACGCAGGAAGCCAGGAGTCTTTAAAAAGTTTCGGCGAAAACTTAAAAGCCGGTGAAGTCGATGTGCATCCCAAGATAAATACGTGCTTCATGCAACAGTAATCCTGGTAAACAGCCGCCCGAAGAGAAAATTACAGAGCCCCCCCAAAACAATACAGTCATCCAAAATGAGGGCAAAGCTGTCAGATCTGATGTGCTAAATGAATTTTTAAGTGTATACAAACGGACAATACGTGTCAGGAATATTTTAGCATAAAATGAAAGATACCCACTAGAAGAGAAAATGACGGTATGGCTAAAAGCACTGTGGGCACGGTCCTGCATTCCCTGCGCATCTGCTCTCCAGTGGGGCGCCAGCAAATGGCCACTGGAAAAAGGCTGTCAATGGAGTCATTATAACATTTACTGGAAACGGGCCCAGCTCAGCCTTATCTCTAACTAGCCAACTATTCCTGTTAAGGAGAGGAGCCTCGTTTCATTCGATATGCTTCATTTTCAAAGGGGAAAAAGCATAAACAAGCTTTCAGAATAAATGAGCATCCAGCTGTGTCCAGCATCCAGGCAGGTAGGGTGACTATAAACATGTTCATAAACCTTCATCACGGCTGCTAGACGCTCAGTTCAGCAAACATCTCCTGAAGGTCTAAGAAAGGGCTAATAAATCACAGATGTATCCTGGGTAATTTAACACCCCTGGAGGTCTTTTCACACTCTGGACACCTCTGGTGTCATGGGGAGCAGCACGTGTTCGCGACACTGTACTTGTGATTAAAAGGTTGCCGGTTCAAATACTGGGGTCAGCTGAGTGGTTTCTCCATTGGTCCCCTGGAAAAGGATCATCTACTAGAGATGCAGATATCAGCCCTGTTAACCCCTATGTCATGCTCTTCAAACTCCTGAGCATGTGTGCACAGGTGAGGCCAAAGTACCTAAGATGCTTCAGCACAGTGCGGCCGTAATGCACACTGACGAACTCCTAAACCCGGGTGATGCTGTGTGATTCCAGGGACAGCAGTCGAGCGAGTAGAGCACCTACAGTAAGACTCAAGGGTCTGTCATTGTTATTGTGTCTTTGTTCCCTGAAATGTCATCAAGGCTCCAGTCTTCATCCATGGTTGACCTGGCCAGCAGGAGAGGGTAAATGTTCCTTTTAAAGCCTCATTATCATTTCAATCTTTTGGACAATGTGGAAATGTTGCATTGCAATAGTGATGGAGAGTCCAGAAGAATAGTGTGACTTTCTGAAAGTATCTGGAGACTGTGTGGAGCTGTGAAGTGAAAGACGACACCCCACAGTTTGACTCACATTGTTAGTGTTCCCCCTGGGTGATTCCCCAAAACAGCGACAATCCAAGCTGATGAGAAGGTAGCAGAAATGCGATCTGAACTCTTACGGGACATTAACTCCTAATGAGGAGGAGATAAGACGACGGACGGAAGCTTATCAGGATTTTGATGACTTTGTGTTTCAGCTTTTCAAACAGCTATAGAGGAAGGGTGATGGAATCTTGTCTTCCTACGCCTGTGTGTCTGACTGCAGCGTGTTCAAAAAGCTGAGAACTTCTACACCGAGATTTCACTCCATAACGGAAAAATCTCTCTCCTGGGTTCTATTGAAGTGGACTTTTTTTTTTTACGTAAGTCATCCTTTTAAGACTCTCAGACAGAAGTGCCACTACCCTTATGAGACTTGTAAACAAATGGGAAATTCTCAGAAAGCAATACAAATCAGGTAATTAAATCTCAGTTCTCACGTACATATAGCAGTGCACTGTTGTAAAACTTCAATATTTATTGTGTATGTTAAGGACCCCGAAATTACTACCCAATATCCAAGATATTTTAAAAAGCATGCAGAATTGATTTTGCTGATTCCAAGACACATTTCAGACACTAATTACATTTGGCACTATGACACAAACCGTGGTTTATCCAAGCTCAACATGTAACATGTACTGTACACACCTCCACATGTACAGATCACATGGTCCAGTATTGGACCGTATAGAATTATTTTGTCTGAACAATTTAAGCATAACATTTTTCATTTATAAATAAGTGCTCATTTGATGTAAACTGTTAATTTGATGCCCCCCCCCCAAAAAAAAAAAAAAAACAAGAACCCAGAAGCCATCCTAATTCTGTCCAAACCAGCACTTACGGAGTCTGGCTGTTTCTGGCACATGTCATGAAAAAAATTAGCTAAATGGTGACACATTAGGCTAATATTTGCCTCAGAGACTTCACCCCTTTACTGGAATGGAAATGCAAACATTACAAACAAAACACATTTGTTTTTGCCCCCAAAAATCAAACAAATGTGGAGAGATTCACAGTCCTGGGAACAGGGATACAATCCAAGGTACTTCTGTGGAAAGCAATTATGTTTTCTTGCTAATGTCAGTAAATCACATGCTAATTGTGTGATTGACTTAACAGATGGATGTTGCAAGTGTGAAACTGTGACATTTATGGATCTCCCACAGCTGCCAGGCAGAATGCCCAGATAGGCCTTTGCAACTGAACAATGACTGAGAGTCCCAAGTACAGAAATTACCTTCAAACATGCAAATAATTAAGAGGAATGAACCAGCTAATGACAGGTAAAGGAAATGGAAACCTGACGCTGAACAAGTCTTCATAGGGACAGGACAATCGCCCAGTGCTTGGTCATATGGACTGGGACCATGGACCAGTCCTTGCTTGTATGGATGGGACCATCGCCTGCTCCTTGCTTGTGCAAATGTCACCATAGCCCAATCCTTGTTTGTAGGGACAGGACCACCCCCCAGTCCTTGCTCATAGAACGGGATCATAACCCGATCCTTGTTCACATAGACAGGGACCATCACCCAGTCTAAGTGTAGTGACACATGCACAGAAAACACTCATGTTAAGATTCTCTAATTTCATGGTATCGTTTACATATCCTGGTCAGGTCCAGCATGACACCCATACATTGGAGACTCAGCTCAAACATCAGCCTATATTCTCGCCCAACACCTGCACAGAAAGGTGTTGGCTCCTTGGCCTACTGTATTAGCCACACAGCCTGCTCCCTGTGGAGCAGCTCAGTTCATGACCAGACACAAAATAAAGCAACGAAACAGCCTCCCCCTTAAAGCCACTCCTCTGTGAGGCTTTTGTATGGTTCCTTCTTTGTGATTTTTTGCATCGTACTTCATATCCTATAATGGAGGTAGGAAAAAAAAAACTTCGAAAATGTAACAGACTGAGATGGAAAGGAAATTGCAGCAAGGCATGGGAAAGCTTTTTGAAGGTGTGGCCTCTTCCACTGGCCCAGTGAATATCAGCGTCACAAGAAAGAAATACATATGGATTTGATGACGGCTGCTGATCCCATAGTCTGCCTTCCATCATACTGGTGTTGATGCACCAGGTGTGGTCCGGTTCCAGCCTGAGGGGTCTGAGGTGTTGAAGAGGTCCGGGAGCTGGCAGGACACTTCCGGGGAAATGATCTCCTCTACAGTAACATAGGTGCCAGCCAGAAAGCCTATGAAGCCCACAGTGGCGATGAGAAGGTCTTTTATTGCCATTCCCAGGTGGCACTTCCGGTCAGCGAAGGTTATGATCTCCACCAATGGGGGGAAGACCAGGGCCAGGGCAGTGCTGGACACTGCGCCCACGAAGGAGATGACCAGATCCAGTCGAGGAATAAGCACAGCAGTCACACCTGAGATGGAGGAATGGCAGGAGAAGAGAGAGAAGAAAAGGAGAAAAGACAATTGATTAATCTGCGGTCCAGCAAGTAGCATCAGGGATAAAGACACACTAGATCAATTCATGTTAACAACCAAGCTCAAGACGAGAGAATGGCCTCCTTCTAGAACTGAACCCAGTGATCATAGAATCTGTATGCTTAACCATGACAAGGCTTGCTGCAGTGGAGGTGTCTCTATAGAAGGGAGGCCCTGCTGAAGCAACAATTATGGCAACAACAATAATAATATTAATAATAATAATCATAGCTAAAGTAATATGAATAATGATACAGTGCATGTTATGCATACTACACATCACATTGCAGTTACACCTAAAAAGAATGTACCCACTCCATTTACCCCCAAAGACCAGAGGAACATGGAACCCCTGACTACCCTGGTGTGGCTGCTAACTTCAGCAATGCTGAGTTTGATGGGCTGAGGAACAGCAGGGAGGATATGCCAAAACAAAAGCAAAAATGAAATGTAACTTTCTCAAGACCTACAAGCCGGAAGGAGGAAAGAAAGCTAAGTACGGTTAGCGTGGATGATAGTAATCCTTCTTAAGATCAAAAAAATGACTGCTTTAGGATCACTATCGGATACCGGAGGGGAACTGTGACAGGATTGGGGACGTTGGTGATCCAACAGTATCAATGTCAGTCTAACTGGAAACATAACAAAGTACTAAAAACCTTCAAGAGAATTATCTGGGGTCTCTTCCATGCTGAACGAGCTTCAGGGAGTCCATTTTCAGCCAATTCTTGAAATTCCAGAGTTAATGGTGTGCATATCAACTGGCTTTTTATGGAATGGAAAGCCAGTGTTGCATTGAGAAAGCTGCCTTCATTCGTGCCACCTTCACTTGCTTCCAGGGACACCCGGCAGAGCCCCATCCTTATGTCTGATTAACATCACTGCTGCAAAGGTTAAAAGAACCTCAGACTACATGCAAGGTTGGTACAGGGGCAAGGTCAAAGCATTTTCAAAGAGTATCAGGGAAAAACTCGATTGTTGCCCCAGGTCCTGAATAAGGTTATTTTCATTTACCAATATTTCTAGATTGAAGATGCAGGTTCAAATTTTGCCATAGAACTATACATGTACACAAGTATTGAGAAACAAGGAAGCCACACTCATAATTAACACCCAGGGCATTGAGGAGTCTGGCTTGCTGACCCCATCTTTCTCTGTTGAACCTGAAGCCGTCGTAAGGATGGGTGAGGGTGGCGGGTCAATCTAAGCATAGTGGAAAGTCAATTACAGAGTATGTACAGATGCCAAGCGCGTTCTAAGTGGCGGGCGCCTAAGCATGCATGCGAATGAGCTCTGAGCACCTCTTTGCATCGCAGAACAAAGGGACAAAGTGCGATCAAGGGGGAAGCTGATCTACAAACCCCCAATTGCTGTGTCCATTCCTCAAACCTGCAATTTGTCCAATAAAGCTTTTTCTTACAAGTCCACAGAGAGATTCTTTCTCAGGATAGACGGTGTGCTTTAACTGCAAACAGGGAATGGAATCGTTTGCTAAAGAAACACCCACATACTCGGGTATTGTGAAGTTCTCCGGAACAGCTGAAGAGAACCAACCCCACAGAAAGTTATTTTAGAAGGTTCCTGCTTGAGCTAGCCGCAGAGCAATAGGCCCCGCCCACCCAATCTGAGACGGCCTGCTGGGAGAGTGGCAGGGGGTGCGGGAGCACAGCGCTAACAGGCCGTTTTGTCCATCACAGCGGGATAGTGGAGGGCTGAGCACCCAGGAGCTCCAGGCCTTCGGTCTCTGCTCTGTCTCCTGCAGAATCATGATTACCTCCAGAAAATGTCTACAATTCACAGTTATTTTCTAACCTCTTTTTTTCCCCATGCCTCGAAAAATGGCTGTCAATCACAGATCATTATCTTTCGTAGGGGGGATTATTTCACCTTAAGGCCTGCTGTCACCTGACAAGTCAGAAAGAAATTGAATTGATATACAGTATATTAAGTGATTAATAATGTTATAGGTAATACACTGAAATTTTACAGAAAAGAGGCATTGAAAAAGTGAACAGGAAGCAGGCGGGACACTGAAATGTCTCAAATGACTAAAATGTATGAAATGGCTGATGTGTCTTAAATGATTGGAATGTATGAAATGAATGAAATTCCTCAAATAAATGACTGAAATCTCTCAAGTGACTGAAATGGTTCAAATGAACGCAGTGTCTCCAATAATTAGCTGAAACTATAACTACACTTTCAGGACAGACCAAGGGGCACAGAGGCACATCTAACTGATGCCGATGTCCATAGAGGAACCCCAGAGCGGCTTACTAACATATTATCGATTCCATTAGCAGATAACTCTGGAGCCAGCTGGGCTCAAAGTAGAGGCAGATGTTGTCCACAGAGATAGGAGACGTGTGTGAGTTGTTTAGTGTAAAATCAGAAATTGATCAGCCAACCTCCCTGTCCATCCATCCTGTGGGAGGAGGGCGAGGTAGCTGAACTTCTCCCTGTTTTATTATGCTACACCGATGCCTGCTGTTGGCTAGATGCAAACAAAACTACGCGATTGACCGAACAGCACCCCTGAGGCATCACTCCATAAATCCTGCAGATAACAGAACAAATGAACAAATACCAAACGAAGCGATGCTAGTCTTCATGGCATCTGCATCTTGGTACAAAGAGTTTGGCAGTGCAGGGGCAAAGGGGTGGGGGGCTATAATCGGTAAAGTATATTGAGTAAATGACCCACTCAGCAAAATGGCGCACAAAGTGAACTTCTGGGGAAAAAACACAAAGTCAAGCATCCAGATCTTTTGCTTGTATATATATTTTTTCATCATTCACGTGTGTTTTCATGCAGAGACCCTGAACGTATCGCCAAAGACCCTACATCCTCTCATCCCTTTCTGCCCTCCTGTCTCCAAAGTCTCCCTGACAACATTTTGTTTCCTTTATGACCAATCTGATCTTCTGTCTGGCTCCCTCACAATTGCTCTGAGCCCCATCAAGCAAACAGCAGTCTGATTGGCCGAGGCGCAGCAAAGGGTCCAGTTAAGGGGACAAACATTGACCGGGACCCAAAAGGGAACATGTCAAACTCATCCGTCCCGCTGAAATACAAAGCAACGAGGAGTCAGCCTGCAGGAAAAAGCACAAATATCACATAACACCTCCGCCCATATAAGGTGATGTTCTGGACCATTGCTGGAAATGCACTGGAGGCCATAAAGCTTAAGTGTAAAGATTATGACTGTTTTAAAGTACAAGCAGTTTCTTCTAAACAGATTCTAAATTCTGAGGGACCCAGCATTATCAGAGCAGCAAGGCAGCTCCACAGGGAGTTTGTTAGACCCAGGTGCAGGACTGTGGGTGCTAATCCTGCCCTAGCTTCCTGGAGGAGCTAACTCCGCCCAAGCTCTCTGCAGGAACTAATCCCGCCCCAGGTCCCTGCAGGAGCTAATCCTACCCCAGCTCTCTGCAGGAACTAACCCCGCCCCAGCTCTCTGCAGGAACTAATCCCACCCCAGCCCCCTGCAGGAGAAAATCCTGCCCCAGCCCCCTGCAGGAGCTAACCCCCGCCCCAGCTCTCTGCAGGAACTAATCCCGCCCCAGGTCCCTGCAGGAGCTAATCCTACCCCAGCTCTCTGCAGGAACTAATCCCGCCCCAGGTCCCTGCAGGAACTAACCCCACCCCAGGTTTCTACAGGAGCTAATCCCACCCCAGCCCCCTGCAGGAGCTAACTCCGCCCCAGGTCCCTGCAGGAGCTAATCCTACCCCAGCTCTCTGCAGGAACTAACCCCGCCCCAGGTCCCTGCAGGAACTAATCCCGCCCCAGGTCCCTGCAGGAACTAACCCCACCCCAGGTTTCTACAGGAGCTAACTCCGCCCCAGCTCTCTGCAGGAACTAACGCCGCCCCAGCTCTCTGCAGGAGATAACCCCGCCCCAGGTCCCTGCAGGAACTAACCCCGCCCCAGGTTTCTACAGGAGCTAACTCCGCCCCAGCTCTCTGCAGGAACTAANTTTCTACAGGAGCTAATCCCACCCCAGCCCCCTGCAGGAGCTAACCCCCGCCCCACACTGCTTACGCTTGTGTCCTGACGTTCATTGGAAGCTCACCCCAGGTCCCTGCAGGAACTAACCCCGCCCCAGGTTTCTACAGGAGCTAACTCCGCCCCAGCCCCCTGCAGGAACTAACCCCGCCCCAGCTCTCCACAGGAGCTAACCCCACCCCAGCCCCCTGCAGGAGCTAATCCCACCCCAGCCCCCTGCAGGAGCTAACCCCCGCCCCACACTGCTTACGCTTGTGTCCTGACGTTCATTGGAAGCTCAGCCCAGCTGCACTTATGCCTCGTTGACTCCTTGTTTGCTTCACTTGTATGATACTTTGGTCAAAAGTCAGCTAAATAAATGAAATGCTAGAAGCTCAGGAAACTGGTGACTCCCATCTGCATCAAGTGTCTCTGTCTGAATGGCCAGATAAACATCCTCGGCCTAAGATGGTCATCATGACTGTAGGTTAGCACAGCATGAGCACAAGGACAGATGTTTTCAGGAGCTAAGATCCTGGTTGTCTGGGGCTTTTTTTTATTTAATTAATTTTTTTTTTAAACACTTTTATTAATCCCTGTGGGGAAATTGTTTTTACGCCTCCCTCAACTTGCTCTTTGTAGAGCAAGCTGTCTGCGAAGGGCAGCCACCTGTAGCGGCGCCCAGGGAGCTGGGGGTTGAGGGTCTTGCTCAAGGACCGGCAGACGTGCTGAGGCTGGGCTTGAACCGGCGACCTTGTGATTACAGGCACACGGCTTAGCCCACACGCCACACGCTTGATAGACTCTAAACTGCCACCCTCTTTATGAAATGGATGTTCAGCAGGCGGAGTTTTCATGTTTTGCCCCAGTTTAATATTTTTATTCTGGAGTTCTTGCATGAGAGGTCTGTCCACGAGAAAGTTACACAAAACGTGTTTTCGTATCCTGCGA